TAGTTTGCACAATGAAGACTGTGTATACGAATAGCAATCTGGCACTCTCTAGGTTAGACTGTTTCTTGTGTGTCTAGATTTACCCCCAGGCAACCTTGAGTGACTTTGTAGGCCCCATGGGTCATGGATGAACCATGTGACATAGCCTCTTAGCCTCTAGAGCAGCCAGAGCCCTTGGACCAGTAGCTTCTTCCAGATCTTTTAGGGAAGATGCAGTCTCTTCCTCCCTAGCCAAGATGGGTGCCAAACGATTATCATTAGAAGGTAAAGATTCCCCCGTCAATCAAAAACTCAGAAGGTGGGCTGTCACCTTACCCTAAGCTATATTGTTCATCCAAACACAATTCTATAATATTTTTATATTGTTCTATGCCCTCTGTCTCCGGAGAATGCCACACAAGAGTCCTCATGAGCCACTGGTTTCCTGTCTTCAGCTAGAGAACCCCAAGACTTCCCTCCTCCTTTTCCAGATTTCGACTCCGGTTGGGGGATGGGGAGGCGGATGTTTCCACTGGTGCAAAGATGCTAAGCAAGGAGAAGGCCAAGGCCAGCAGCATCTGGCATTCCTCGCATGAAACCCGGAGGCTCTGAGCCTGATGCCAGGACGCCGCGATGCCTTTCCTGCCAGGAGATTATGTTCATTTGCACAGGATCTGAGACAGAAATTCCAAAGAGATGATACTGGAAACCGAAGGCCTATATCATATTAATAATACAGACAGGAAGGCTCCCTCAGCAGCTGGTAGCAAACATGTATTAAATAAAGAAAGGAACCTGGCTCTAGCCCAAGACCCAGCAATGCAGCCAGGTCATTTTAGATTACAAATAGGAACAATTAAACCTTATTGGGTTTATTATAGACTTTGTCTCTGGTTAGCTATTAGGTTTCTGCACTTACATGCTAATTTTTGAGTCAAGGAATCAGAAATCTCCCCAGATTAGGCATCTACCCACAACTCAGCAGGCTGCACAAATCAAGGAGTATTTATGCTTTCCTGAATGCCCCCTGCCCGTGTGGAGTGCAGGATTGAGAGGAAGCCGGTCAAAGGAGGAGAAACCTCCATGCTGGAGCCACAGGGGACTGTGGCTGGAAGACCCAGGAGAGGCAGAACCCACATTCCAGTGGCTCTAAAGGCAGTCTACCTGAGTACCTCAGCCCTCACCTTCCCCAGATCCAATTCCCACATTCCCATACCCACCGTTCCTCAACCAGCAGATAAACCAACTATGCTAACGTCAAAAGCAATCACATGGTGAAGCAATGTGGGCTGTGATGGGGACAATCAGAACCCGAGGCCTTTCATCTTTGAGCTAAGATTGGTGACGACCCGCCTTGGTTCCTCTCCCCACCGAGGTCACAAGTTGCGTGATTTTAGTTACTTGGCCTCAGCTGCCTCATCTGTGAAATGGGACTTCCTTCTGGACAGAAGCAAGACTATGGTGTAACTACCTCCTCCACACACTTCTCACTCTTAAGTCCACTTTTATTAGGGGACTTTTATTCTCCATTCAGGCTCTAGGAAGAAAGTGCCTTTGTCTTACAACAGCACATTGCTCATGACACTCTCGTACTGTGCTCTCAGAGTGGCCCTCATCGGGTCCAGGACAGGCATTTCTAGGTCATTCACAGAAAGAGAAACTGAGCCTCTGAAGTTTTATGTTTCCTATAAAAATACTAGACCAGCTGGGCATGGTGGCACATGCCTCTAATCCCAGCCATAGGGAGGCAGAAGAAGGCAGATCTTTTTGAGTTCAAGGCCAGCCTGATCTACATAGTGAGTTCTAGGCTAGCTACAGATACCGAGTGAGATCCTTGCTAAAACAACACAAATAAAACACCAGGCAAACCCAGAGCAAAGATCTGGGCTCTTGATTTCTACTTAAGCTACACATTCACTAACTCTGTACTGAGACCCACTTCATGCTGGGCCATTGGTTATGAATCTGTTCTATCTGAAGTTCCAGGTACTCTTGGGGTTCCTCAACCCTTCATTTACCCAGTGAACCCTGGAATTTCTGGGACCAGAGTCTCAAACTGAAAGGACCCTGGCCTCAGTGGCACATGTTGGGGTTTTGGAAAACGTCTCTATGTCTAAGAAAATAGAACACGCTTCTGTGAGCAGTTCAGCCAAACAGCTGGCTATAACAGCCCTGCCCCCATCCCCTGCCGTCTTAGCTTCGGCCCACGCACAATCCTCAGTCCATCTGATAGCTTAAGAGGTTTGTGTGTGTATGAAATACCTTTGGTTTCACTGCCCCATTTGAAAGCCCTTCTACATTTGAGCCCATGCTAACTCAGCAAGACAAGCATAGTTCGGTTTAGGGCTGGCAGGAAGGAAGACAATCCTGAATGAAATCCAGTTAGTTCACTGACAGCCAAAACAGCCTCTAGTGGGCTCTGTCTTCTTCCCATTCTCTCTCTCTCTGTCTCTCTCTCTGTCTCTGTCTCTGTCTCTGTCTCTCTCTCTCTCTCTCATACACACACGGAAACATATTCATTCACACATACATACACACATACACACACACATAGAAACACTCATACACATACATACACAGAGAAACACAGATACAGAAATACACTCACAACAGACAGAAGACACACACACACACAGAAACACACTCACACCCATGTGTACAAACACCTACCCGGCAACAAGGACTATTGAGCCACCCTCACAGTAGTGAGTCCACAGAGGTGTAAGACGTAGCGAGGGCCAGCAGCCACATGGAGCTCAGAGCTCTGGACCCTCAATCTACCTTGGCATCTTTGCCCCAGGAACTACTCCCTCTGGAGAAGCTCCTAATCACTGGCTCTGTGGTAACTGAGCTCAGACACAGGATCAGATGTCTGGAGGTCCCCACACTAAACTGTAGGGCACATAATTCACCATGATCCCTCACTCCAGCCTACACTTTATGTGCTTCAGGGGACACACAGCTGATGGTGAGAGAGATAGGTCCCTGCCAGGGGGCTGTGAGGTGAAGGATTGCTCTAAAATGGAAAAAGTTACTTGGGTCCAAAGGGGAGCAGCTGGTTCAAGGAGCTGCTCACAGAGGAGGAGAGGGAGCCATTCCAGGGGTACCCCACTCCAAGCCTCCGTTTCTGTCCTCAGAACCCCACAAGGAAGACGCACACGGCCCTTCTCTCTCTGTGGTTCAGGCAGGCTCCTCAGAACGGTGCCTGGGAGTTCTGACCCTGAGTTCTCCTGCCCTTGGGTCTCAGGGTGATCTGTCCCCAGGAGCACCACTAGGCCCGGCTACTGGGGGTTCTTTGCTTGCCCACAGGCACAGCCAGACAAGCCGAGGGTAGGAGCACTGCAGAGAAGCATGGTAGACACATCACTAACTGTTTCCAGCTGCCCCCGAGGACCCCGTGCTATATGAGGTGAGACCCTGCAAGGTTTCACTGTGGAGGCGAGGACAGCCAAAGGGCATTCCCTAAGCTTTTCTCTATGGTCTTCCTCCTGATGAAAGAGTCGCGGTTAAACCTTTATCTTCCATAAACACTGAAAATGTGGTTACCTTGATTTCCACGTCTCGTTTTCATTTTACTTAAAAAATGGCTTCCTTGCAGTAAAACATCTGATACTCTGGATGTTGGGCCGAAAACAGATGTTTCTCCATGTAATAGACGTCAGTGGGCCTCTGTGCGCCCGCCCGCCTCACACTCACACTCAGACACACGTGCACACACGTGTGTCTCGTGAAGAGCCAGGGCAGAGCTGGCCCCCAAAGGGCCGTAGAATACGAACAGCCTCAAAGTCACAGGGCTGGAGCCCCTGCAGCAGGGACACCTTTGAGTCAAGAGGTCAGAGAAAACACAAAAGCACCAACCAAAGAGGCCAGGAGGCCTGGGACAGCCACTGGGGCTTCTAAGTTCCTGTCTCCTGCAGCTTGGTGCCTTCCCGGGTCTTGTCAGACCCACAAGGGAGGAGGGAGGCACAGTTGAGCTCTTTGCTGTTTCTGCTTCTGTAGGAGACAGCGCAGGGTTTAAAACCAGGCAGGCACAGTAAAATACCAGAAAAACCCCATCTATTTTCTCCAAAACTTCCAACAGATTCCTCTGTCCAGCTTCCCTCCCTTATTTCCATGTCACAGTCTTAGGCTGAATAGAGGCTCACAGGGGCCCTAGACCTTCAGGAACCCCCCCACCCCCACACCCCGCCTCACACTACCACCAAGGGGCACCAACTTTATACTTCTGGCATCAGGATAGTCTTGTTCACTCATTTCCCCATGAGTTTGTCTCCCCACTCCTTCTGAAGGCTTCCCTAGAACTTGCCAACCCACTTGAAGCCTGTTGATGCTCTGAAAAAGAAAATGAATAATTATGAAAACCCCAAGGAATGGCATACAAACTGCCTTGGGTGTTGGGAGAGCTGGTTCTGGCAGGAAGGACTCTACTTGCTGGAGGTGGTTTTTTCCAGCTACACCGTGCCCCTCAGGATACCCGTCTCCTCCCCAGCCTGGTTCTCTCCATCGCATGCCATCTCTGTGTCTCGGGCTCCTGTAGGCTGCTCACTGCTCCCTAGGAGCTTCTGTGTTTCCTAAAGGCTGACATTCAGTTGCAAGGGTTTCCATGAGTCCATCTCCCTGACACAAGCTGTGTTTATGTCCATATAACCTCATTCTCAATAGGATTTGTGGAAGTTTACAGAAGTTCACATTAAGACGGGCAGAGGACAGCAGGGGGAAGGGGCTGTCATAGCAAACAAGAGACAACCAGGCAGAAATGTAAGAAGAAAAAGCATAAATCCTCACTAAGAAGAACTATAAATTTGACTCTGAGCTTCCAGATGCTCCAGAAAAGAAACAATTCTACCAGTTACGGGAACCACTGCCCTGCTAAGGTAAAATACAAACACAGAACAATCACAGCTATTCCCTGGGGCTGAGATTACAAAGTAGCTTCTCACATGGATTTGCAACTGGAATCCCAAGGGTTGTGGTAGGCTGTTGGTTTTCATCTTGAAAAACAAAACAAGACTAGATAAGCCTTCAGACGAAGTTCATTTTATAACATAAAGAAGGGATCCATGCTGTATTCAGGCTGCCAGAGGACATATCATCATCTATGCCCCGAGTCCCTCAAATGGCCCAGCAGACCCAGCAGGCACTGCAGGCTCACTGTTTGGAAATCTTGTCCCTCTAGGAGGCTAAGTCAGAGTTCCCACAGCCGGAAGCAAACAGACTCCTTCAGAATCTTCAGGACAGAGGAGGAGCGTGCTGTGTGGCCTCAGGTGATCTCATGCCCAGGCAAGCTTTGGAAACCAGGCCACACCCCGGCCCCTTACTCACTGGCCAGCCTGGGTGGTAAAACTCCGTCTTGGGTAGACAGCCTTCATTGAAAGTGGGCCCCCTGCGAATAATGGCTCTGGAAAGAGAAACAGTTGGGGACAAGAAACTCTCAGCTATGAGCTACAGGAATTTGGGAGTGGGAGGGAGAATCCCCCTGCCTCCATTCCAGCAATATGTCTCCCACCTCCGCACGGGCTACCCTGGCTCATCCTGTCCTCCCGGATGCAGGTGAGGCAGCTCTTGCTGTCTTCTCCTCAAAGAGAAGCCAGGTATCAGTGCCCCACCCACCCTGAAGGGCACAATGGCAGGGCACTACTCCTAGTCCTGCCCACCCCACAGACCCTGCTCCCCACAGGTCACCTCCACTCTGCAAAGTGCTCGAACGATCTCGCACACACACGAACCAAGCTGTTTGTCAGCTCATCTCACGTGCAAGAGCTAGATCCTGGGTTCAGACCCTGTGGCTCCTACCTACAACCCGTGTGTCCTCGGAAAGGTCTTCACTTGGTCAGAGGCCCATTCTCTTCACTTGTAAAATGACTTGGGGTCCCTGCCGAGGGCTCTGCCAGGCAACATACGCTGCATTGTACTGCAACAATAAGGGACCCCAAGTGTGGGAAGATTAAAACAGAGGGTTACTGTTTTCATTCAGGCAGAGCCAGATCCTCACCCAATTGTCCTCTGCACGAAACCTCCACAACATAAGCTGTTTCAAGCATGTGTCTGTCACCTGTCAACTGCATGCTTCCCAGAGACCACTCAGCCCATTAGCCCAGACTCATCACTTCCATGCATGAGCCGTCAGCCAAAATTAACCACAAGGTCCTGTCTCCAACAAGGGAGTATCCAAGGACAGTCATAGAAAAGATCCAGCTACAAGGAAGCCTTAAACATAGTGATGTTGAACAAGGTACTGAGAATAAAGAAAAAAATAGAAAGTCATATAAATCCATAGCCTGGCTCTTGCTGGAAGCTGGGTGAATGTCAGTCTCTTGACTTTTCTTCTGTTCTGTTTCTGGTTTTAAGGAAGAGTCCTACTTCTTAGCCTGTCTCTTCTTTCACCCTCGGTTTTCTCATTTCTCCTCTCTCTCTCTCTCTCTCTCTCTCTCTCTCTCTCTCTCTCTCTCTCTCTCTCTCTCTCTCTCTCTCGTGTGTGTGTGTGTGTGTGTGTGTGTGTGTGTGTGTGTGTGTGTGTGTGTGTTGGTTTCTCAAGACAAGGTTTCTCTGTGTAGCCCTGGCTGGCCTCAAACTCACAGAGACCCGCCTGCCTCTGCCCCCGCCCCTCCGGTGCTGAGATCAAAGGCGTGTGCCACCACAGCCCAGCCATCATTTCTCATTTCTATGATGCTTAGTTCTCATCTTGAGACTCACATCAGCCACTGCAAGAACACTGGATGCTACAACGGCAAGAGGCCAAGGAAGAGCCACCACCTAGCACACAGCCACACAGGACACACTTACACTTGCCAGAGAGCGTGTCCCAGAGGTTGGCCATTGATGTTTTCTCAGCTCCACCACCCTGAGGAGAGAACACTAAACAGAGAGACAAGAACGTTCCTCGGGGAATGAAGTGCTGAATCTTGATTCCAAACCCCTCTATCTTACATGGTGCCAATGTTCCTGCCCAGCTTGCTGGACTCAGGATGGGGCCCTGAAGAAGGGCAGTGTTTTAGGCTTGGGCTAAACGCTGACAGGTGCCAGGTCCTTTGGTATGTGTCCCTAGGAACACTCACCAGCAGAGTCCTTTGAAGATTGCAAATGATTCTCTCTGCCCCTCAGGGTCTCTCTGTCTCCCACCCCTAATTCTCATTACAAGGATAATGGACATACCAGCAGAGTACACAAGCCAATATCCTCCTACCTCCATCTAGCTCACTGGAAAGAAGTTGACAGATGCATCTGGGGTATGCAAGGCCTCCCTAGGCTTTCCCACTGAAGCCAGAACTCTGGGTAACAGCTCACAGCCGCACTAATCGTAACAAGGCTCCTTCTACCATTACCCCACTTTAATGCCAGCTTTTATGCGGGCATCTGGGGATGTGTGTGCTTACGAGCAATTTGTAATGAAAAAAAAAAAAGCCAACTTATAGTGGAGCTGGGAAGAGAGGGACCCAGAACACCAGCAAAGACGGGCCCCTTCACAGAGGCCGCCCCAGGCTCTGGGGACAGGGCAGCTGCCCTGGGATGTTTAAGATACCATTTGATCTCTTGCTAAGTCCCACATGGCTTTAATTTCCATGTGCTCTGAAAAAGAATGGAATTAAGAGTCAACAGATCCACTGTGTCTTTCATTAAAGATGGGCCCTTAATCTAAAAGGAGAAGGAGAAAGGGGGAATTCTACTCATGCAAAACCTACTATGTGCCATGACCGTCCTGAGAGCTTTACCATCTCATACAAGCCTTGCAGTAACCCACAGAATGAAGGTTTGTTATTATCTATTGTGGTGTGTTGCGAAAAATTAAAAATAAAATAGTCACAGTATTTTGTATCATATTCCATTGAAAATTGGAGTCATTTTCTCCATCCTTTGGATCAGGGTTGAGCATCTTTCTCTAGCCAGTGGGACATTCACCAACACCATGCAAGCAGGATGAATGGTCAAAGAAAAGACAGTACAGCTAGTTCAACCTTCAAAGCGTAGGAGTAGGCTATCTTGAACCATCAATCTCCATTGAAGATACCCAGGTATAAAACATTGCCTACTCAACCTACAGAATCATGGGATATACTCCATGCTTATTGTCTTAAGCTGTGTTTGGGGAAGTTTATTTTCATCAAAAATTGCTTGATGCAACCCTTGTGGTTCAAACAGTTTGAGTCACTTCTAGCTGGCGCATTAGAAAAGCATCAGAATGGGGACTTGAACTTGGGTTATACTCCATGTACTTGACAGTTTGTTTCAATCTAGAACACGCTATCAATGGAGGAAAATTTCCCTGAGGGGATTAAAAAAAAGCTAACTCTCCAACAACATGGTTACCACTCCATATTGAAGAATACTGGGACCCTCTAGTTCCCTGAAGCCATAGATGCTTGTGAGGACTTCACTTCTTACAAAGGACACAGCACAGATCTACCAACTTTTCTCCAGGGAGACTTCCCATAAACAGAAACTTCTCCTTAAAGAATTCTCTATCCTAACCTTGGAGAAAACATCTTCAAAGGGTTATGGCAACCCTGCTGGGCCTTCTGCCCCTCAGGCTAAGAGATCCACCTCTGGCCATGCCCTAAGAAGTTTAGTTAACCTTCAAGTGGGCCTGGGTCACTTCTTGCTTAGCAGTTAGATTGAGGGGACTCATTATGAAAATCTGCATTTACCTCATAAGGAAATTGTTTCTTCTATGACATCATGCCTAAGAAGAGCCTGTAGGAGCTCAAGGTCACCAGTGATGAGTTGGTTATGTCCCAGCAGTAAGCTCATGGCCACAGATAGCCACAGGAAAGACCTGGTAAGCTTGCTGGCATGGCCTTGGGCAGCCTATGCACCCTCATAGGAGCTCCAAATGCACATAAGGCCAGCGTTGCCTTTATCCTGATGCCGGGGTGATTTTAAACAGAATCCGGAAACAACAAAACCACTGGATGCATCAGGACTTCTGAGCTCCCTCTCAAGCGCCTGCCTCCCCCACTTTTGAGTGGGCACTAGCTCTTTCCTCTTGTAGTCTCATGTCTTCTGTTGTGGGCAAGAAGACCTCCACGGGGGCTTGCCTTCACCTTGGGGGCTGGTGAAATAGGGTCTCAGCATAACCCCGGCTGATTCAGACTCAGTAGCTCAAGCTGACCCCAAGCTCACATAGAGCCACCAATCTCATCCTGATTACAGGTGTAAGCCAGCACACCCTGCTTTGTTTCATTTTAATTATTTCTCATCCTCCACTTAGACTAATCTGTGGACAATGTAAAATTGGACTCTAATCAGGTCTGGAATTTTAGATATAAGCTCTCTCATCTACAGTGAGAAGGAAGATTGTACGTTAGTATATTTCATTACTTAAAAGGTGAAGTCTGAACCCGTTTTGAGATGCATAAGGAGAAAGAAATCTTTTGATATGATTAATGGGATACATATGGAGCCTGGGACATATGCTTGAAAGCAATTGTGTGCAAAGAAATTAGCAGCTACTAATTGCTTTCAGGAGAAAATTGCATCTTATTACAAACTATTGGATTTTTTAAAATGAGCTTCTTCCCAGCAGTGTGAACATCTGGATTCCCAGGAGCCAGAGGCACTGGCAGAGCCTCCCTCCAGTCCAAAGGCAGCTTCTGGCTATCAATAGCTTTGTGTAAGGGGTAGGGCAGACGGAAACTTGTCTGATAACTGATTTTACATCACAGAGCGAATCCACGGAGGGCCGGTAGGGAACAAGCAGTCCCTTAAAATCACCGCCACAAGTCTGAACTCAGCGTGACATTCCAACCCTCTGAAGCCTGGGCCTGCTGGCCTCTCTTCTCACCACCTTGTGTTGGAACCTCACCCAGTTCACAATGAATTCCTCACCACTGGAAACACTCTCCATCCATTCTTCTCTGATCTAATCCTGCAGCCTTCAAGAGCAACTTCTTCCCCACCTGCTCCCGGCAGCCCTCATACATAAGGGCCTGAGCCCCTCCCTAGCACCAGAGTGGATGAACTCCCGGCTGACTCTCCTGGGCCTGCCTCCTGCTCACCCTAAGGAAGGAGAAGGCGAGGCTAGAAAAGCCAAAGTGCAGACACCTTCACAGACAGCATCACATGGCCAGCAGGCACCCCATGCCTCTGGCTCATGTGTCAGGTTGAGGACCGTAGGTTTCTAGACCCCCTCCTGGGCTCTGCAGCACAGCAGGAAGCAGCAGGGCAGGAGCCTGGCAGGTCACCTTCAGCCACACTGAATGGCCTGTCCCGACCTGTGTGCAAGGGCCCAGCGAGTTCCACAGCCTTGATTACAAACCGCAGCCAAGCAGAGCTAACTGCTCAAGGAGAGGAGATGAGGCAGTCATGATGGAGGCATCTTCTGTGCCAGAGCACCCCACCTCTCCTGTAAGCATGAGTTCTCTGGTCCCCAGGTCGAGTGGCCCTTGAGCCCCAAATGAACACACAGACGCTGTATTAATCATAAATCTGTTGACTGTGACTAGGGCTTCTTGTTGGCTAGCTCTGTCTTAACCCATTTCTATCTAACTATGTATTGCCATGAGGCTGTGGCTTACCTGGTAATGCCCAGCATGGTGTTACTCCTCCAGCAGCAACTTGACTCTGTCTGGTGGGTTCACTGTGCCTACCTTACCCAGAATCCTCCTCCTCTCCTAGCCCCGCCTATCTTCCTGCCTGGCCAATCAGTGTTTTATTCATCAACCAATAAGATAAACATATACAGAATAACATCTCCCATCACTCTCCTCCAAATATAAGGAGATGGACAGCAGCTGTGTTGTCGGCCACCCAGGTATGTACTGTTTCTAACCAGGACTCTGTTGACACAAAAGAGGTGACCTGCCTTTCGATCCCTGGGCACCCCTGTCTTTCTCCTGCTCACGGGAAAGGTATGAGTTGTCCACACTGGACTCCAGAGTTTTTCCCTGAAGTACACACCCCACCAGAAGG